TTTCCCCCTCCCTGTCCTTACTTTCCAGAGGACTAGGAAGGGTCCCTTCTGAAATCCACTTTCTCCACTCCCATCCCTCTGTTGGACTCAGATTTCATTCATCAGACCATTGACAAGGCTGGTTCTCTTCCTCCTGCCTCCCAAGGTTATTCTCACAGCCCATTACATTACGGCACCCTCCAGAAGTATGGATTTCAGCTTCTGAAATTCCCAGTCAGAATATCCCCTGCAGAGAATCTTCAAAGTTGAAATCTACACATCAGGAGGGTGTTCTGGATGGATGCAACAGCAGGGATGAGCAACATTGGAGTGGTTGGGAAATGTAAATCACAACCTTCCAGAAATCCACAATAGGTTGTCCAGTGATGTCATTGGACAGGGAAGGGCTGGATTTTTAATGTTCCTTTTTGGGGTGGGTGGGATTAAGGGTGGGAATGAGAGTGAGGGGAAAACCGTTCTTATTCTTACCATTAATTCACCACAGCAACATGCAAAAGGGAGACTGAAATTGGCAATGATGGCAATTTGGTGCCATTTGCACTTTGGAGAAAGGCTTAGAGGCTGGAATGGATTAGTAAGCTCTAGAGGATGGAGCGAGGAGACAGAAAGAAAAAATGTGGTGTAACAGGCAGAAAAGGACTAACAGAGTAGAGTCAAGTGGGGGGTGCAACTGGTTCAGAATGCGGTGGTGTGGGCAGTTTCAGCATCCCAGGATATGCTTATATAAAACTGGTTCCCAGAAAGCTTCCAGGTGTGATTCAAGGTGCTGGTTAAAACCTATGAAGCCCTATTTGGCATAAGGCCAGGCTATCTGCAGGACCACCTGTCTCCAACTGTTTCCACTTGCCCCACCAGAACTAATGGAGGGGAGGAGTATGCTCCAGGTCACTTCTATTGTGCAATGCCATCTTGCTAGACCCACCAGTTGTGTCTTCTCCATTGCAGTGCCTGCTGTGTGGAACAGCTAGTCCCCTAGGCATCTGGGCCAGGTAGTTAAGTAAGTTCTGCTGGTTGATCATTTTATTTTAGTTATTTATTTTACTTTTTTCCTGTTGCACATTGTCCAACCTCAGACATTTGTTACTGGATTGTTGGTTTAATTTTACTATTTTGGTTTTAACTCTTATATACTGCCCAGTCATTGCTATGAGATGGGCGGCCATATAAATTGTTTAAATAAGTAAATAAATGCAGACAAAGAGAATAAGGAAACCAAAAAATATGAAGAGCAAGTACATGTAACGTACTCTGAAGATATACCAGACTACAAATCCTATCATCTTCCAAATGACCATTGGTTGTGCTGTTTGATTACCATTGCTCAAAGTTTCTTAATTTGGCTTTCTGCCCTAAGCAGAGTGCTGCATTCAACAGCCTAAATGTCCTTCCCAATTCTACGATTCTGCCTGTGGAGAGCATACAGTTGGAGAAGACTGACAGAAAACAAGGGGTGAAATGTTTGAAAATGAATATCACATGGAAAGAGAATCCAAGAAATACACAGTTTTGAATTATAACACTTCAGAGATCAAAACCAAGCTGGAGAACTGATTCGAGAATACCTGTCCTCATATCCATTGTCATCCCAAGACAACAGCTATGGAGATCGAGAGTTGTCAGATACATCAACCATGGGTTCATGGACTGTATAAGGGTGAATCAAGGCCACACTTATGGGACATTCCCTAAACAGCAGTGTGCCTGCTCCCAGTGATCCATGGTGACTGCATCTGGCTTTCACATATATAAATGTGCAAGTGAGGTCCCTATTAAATCAACATTTATCCTGGCATGGAGAAGCTTGTAAAACATGACTGTAATGGATTTAGAATAACTTTTTTTTTTTTTTGATGCCTTCAAGTCATTGTTGACTCCTGGCAACTGCCTGGACTAGTCCCTGCAGTTTTCTTGCCAAGACTTCAGAAGTGGTTTGCCATGGCCTCCTTTCTAGGGGTGAGAGGGTGTGAATGGCCAAGGGTCAGCCAGCTGGCTTTGTGCCCAAGATGGGACTAGAACTCGCGGTCTCCTGGTTTCTAGCCTGGTGCCTTAATCACTACACCAACTGGCTCCCGAGAATACCTTCATAGTAGCATCAAAAATGTAGTTCTACGTAGAAGGCCCAGGAAGTACAGTTCTACTACTTCCATGAATGTACATGTCTGTGAGTGCATGAGGGTGCATGGATTGAAGTCCATCTGTACACTCCCAGTGGAGACTTGTCTTACATGTTTAGTTGGTAGTATCATGAAAGATCTCATCTATTTTTTGAACATAGTGTAGAAGTAGAAGACATATAAACAAAGTACAAGTCTGCTACCGAACACCTTCTTCCTAAACCTTTAAAACTCATGTTCCCATGTGCTAAAGAAGGCACCATCCTACTCCAACAACCAACTTCTCACGCCTTTCCAACTGTGTGGCCCATTGAGCTGCATTCATATTACAAGTCTTCCACTGAACAGTGGTTACTTGGAATACAAATTATGGTCTAATCTTTAAAAGAAATCATCTCTGGGCAAGCTTCTCTTGAAGAAAAAAAAAATGCTTGATATCTCAGTGGTCTTCCTGAAGTTAAAACAAAAACCAAGAACCTTCAGACTGCAGGGGAATGGTATTGCATGCATAAATATTATAGGAAGGGGGAAAAAAAGTTGGCAGACATTCCTGCATATAAAATCCCCATATCTGAGAGAAGATCATAAGCCTTCTCTCTTACTTGCTATTTTTTTTTTTTTTTACATGGAGGTCCCTCTTTTGTATAAAGGAGAATTCTGCCAAGTGAACCCCTATCTAGCTGTAGTCTGTTTAAGTCCAATACTGTAGACCAGTGTTGTCCAAACTTGGCCACTTTAAGATGAGTGGACTTCAACTCCCA